GATGCGTTGACAGTATGTTCACGGCACAGAATCGGACGTCAGTGAATCACAATTATTTTCTCAGTGTACAAACGCATATTACGGCCAAACACCGACAGCAGGCTGTTGAGTGGCTTCTTGATGTGAGTGAAGAGAAACAATTTTTAGATTTCCGTCATTTTTCCGAAAAATCCTCCAAATTCAACCGCAGCTTTCTGATGCCTTATTGATAAGAATCTTCATAACATCATTACTTTTGAATTCTTTACAGTTTTATAAAATGAAAAATAAACTGTTTGTTTGTTTTTTACTATGAAAAAATTTCATCTATACGGTATTTTTATGTTCTTTTCTTCTGCACAAACCAAAATATGTGCACGTGAACTATGTGCGAATAGAACTTTTTTGCAAAAAATGAGCGACTTCTTCGTCAGATTGATCAAAATTCACAAATTACTATTCTCCAGTTTTTTACAATTCCGCTCAGTTACATTCCATTACTCGTCATGCTTATCTAAAATATTCATACGCATACAAATGAATAGTAATTCTTCGCAAAAACCAAGGAAGCATGATCTCATCACAATCCAGTGGCATTATCAATCGTAAGATTGTTCATATTAATTTCAAGTGTTCATTAGTTAAGAGATTTATAGTAAGCAATGATTTACATACTTCCCAATTACCTACAAATGCTCATTAGTTTGTAAGGACGAGGTGAGATGAAATCCATTTCCCATTTGGTGCTGTTACGATTGATTTAATTCCTCATAAAAAAGAAATGTTGTCAGAGAATGACTTTTTCACTTCATAGAATACGCATATTTGATAGCAACAATTGAAAGTTTCATAGTTTGGAAGGGAATGACATTCGCTGATGGGACTTACAATAGGTGTTATTTGATTTTGTGAATTTCTGAATGGCTTTTTCGCTAAGTTGATCACTAGATTCGATAGGTACTGATCAGTAGTGATCCGGATTTGAAGTGATCATCATAAAGTCTTGAAGTCTTGATTACTGGGCATCAACATGAAAGGATGTTCAGTCATCTTCATCACTGTCATGGAATATTTGGAATTGAATTTGGAATTATTAACTGAAAATTATCGCAATATTTCTTCTATCGTGCAGGTATGCAGAGAGGAACATTGTGAACCGGATGTTTTCCCGTTATCGGTGTCTTATATTGATCGTTTCTTGGCACTTCAAAACATCTTCCGTGATAATCTTCAAACGTTGGCCAGTGCGTGTCTGTTCATCGCCAGTAAAGTGAAGGCCGCTCAACCGTTACAAGCCAAACGAATCGCCTACTATACAGACGGTGGTGTACCTTCGCGAGCAATTCTAGTGAGTTCCACCAAAGTTTTCGTATCATTTTTCAAATTCCACAGCTTAATCAATTCACACTTCTTCCGGTTTTCCATTGTAAAATTTGTCTTTTTTTCACGAAACGAAATTTTTTCCAGTTTTCTAAATTTGTGTTTTTGCCGTCGTCTGTTCGTTCACTAAAGAAAACTTCAGAGTAAATGTGAAAGTGATTGATAAATTATAGGTTAACGTTCGTTATTCATTCATAACATTCTTAATGCATGTGTCATACGGTAACCAGAATAACTTAAGAAGTATGATAATACGAACAAGAATATTA